AGCTCCTGGGGGGCTGAGCATCAGGCAGCTGCAGCAGAGGAATGCATGCCTTCACTTCCCTTCCAGTTACAGCCTGGGGTGGAGGCAGGTGCCCGGGCTCTGGGAAGAGATTAGCACCCTAATGAGAAGAGACAGGCTATGTCAGTCCTGCAGGGAGGCCTGTCACATCCATTTGTAAGCTAAATAGCTCTTGTCCTCAGAGCAAGGAAGGGTAGGAAGAAGAGAAAGGAGGGAATGAGGGAGAGGCAAAGGGGGGAGGGAAGGAGGAGAGAAATGGACTATTTCTTGCCTGTGTTTGGAGGCACTAGCCCTCAACCCTCATCAAACTCATAGGATCGCCCTGGTATTAGTAGACCTAAGACCTCATTTTGCCTGTCACCAGTTACCAGTGTGACCTCAGACAAGTCACCTAAATTCTCTTACCTTAAACCCTTTATCTCTACAATGAGGGGGTGGACTTGAAGGTCTTTCCAGATCTAAACATCCATACTCTGCTGTTTGGATGACTGTCGTGGTCATCTCTGCACACCACCCGAAGTCCTGGTCCTCGCACAGGGCCCTCCACCCACCCACACTAACCATTCACCCCGTCCCAGTGAGTCCATCTCTTGAACACCTTCTGATCTGCTCACAGCTGATTCTTTGAGGCAACTTTTCTGGACAAATGAAACCATTTTCCAGCAGGTCTTCCTGCTTCCAGTCTTGTCCCTCTGATCCATTCTGTTCTACAGCCACACTCGTATCAGAGCACGTGACTTAGCCTGTGGGCTCCACCTTACTATTCGCACCACCTTGTCTCAGCGCACAAGGCCCTGAATCATCTCCACGCTCCCCTCCTCGCCTCTCTCCACTCCCCCATTGCACCCTGTGCTCTGCTTCCAGTTTCTCTATCAGCCCATAAACTTTCTCACCTGTAGGCCTTGACCTAAAATCACTTTCCCTTACCACCTAGCTAAAAGTTACTCACCTTTAGGATAACAATTTTTCCATGTTAGGTGTTCCTTCTAGATTTCAAACCATACTGTTATTACGCTAGATGGTAATTCTTCCTTTACTTGTCTATAACCCTTAATTTGCTGTAAGCAGAGTAAAGGAAAAAGTTGTGTGTATCTCTTCTTTTATGGTTTCCTTCATACTGAGCCCAATGCCAACCACATAGCAGATATTCAATGAATGTCCTTTCCTGAACAAATTTGGTAGTGTCATCTTGTAGGGTACCCTCCAGCTATAACACCCTATAGTCCCATAAACTGTGATCTCAGAGACCCCAAATTTTCAATTTCTGACTAAGAGATCTGAGACCTCCCACCACGCTGGGGTCTACCTTTCCAAGTCTCCCATTCCCAGCAGGAACATCAACATTTAACAGATTGTTGGAATCCATCAGAACGAATGGAATTGTCCCAATCAATTCTGAATCAGCTAGGGTCAACTTTCAACCGGGTGTGTTGCCTAGAAATTGGATTGAGATTCCATATAGTAGAGGAAGAGGGAGGCCATGGGCAGAGTCAGCTCTATATTCTAATACCAGTTCTGCCACTAATGAGATGGGTCAGCTGAAATTTCAGGATTTGCCCGTAGAAAGGTTAAAAGTAGCCCCCTCCTGCCCAGGGCCAGTACCTTAGGCTGACAGTGTGGGGCAGGCAGTGGCTATCTCTTGACCTCCAGCAATTCCCACAAGGGGCTGCTGAAAACCTCCTTGTTTCTCCATGTGGTGTCCCAGAGCTGACCTGACACCAGAGCTCTGTAAAAATGCTGTGGCTGAGAGAGCTCGAGCCTGAGTGGCAGAGACGAGAGGTTAGAGACAGGACTAGACTCAAAGGGCTTTGGAGACCATGTACCGGGTCCTGAGACCTGGTCATTGTTGATTCCCCAGTGTTGCGGTGGGAAGATGACCATCACCATCTCACTTTAGGTGTCAGCACATTGAGATGCACCAGGCAATTGAAACTGGCTTTCCCGGGATAGAAATATTTGCAGGAAAATGGGAAATGGGAAAAGGGAAAGCGCCTGGGGCATTGAGTGAAATAGGAAACGGCACGGGCCAAGGGGCAGAGAGGCCAGAGTCACCTTACCTCCCCAGTTTGGGTATGTTTTTTCCCTCTACTTCAGGCCTTTTAAATTTTTCACCAGCTGATCAACACCTGCTTTAATCAGACTCCTTAAATCTCTGCCTCATTACAAGAGGCAGCAGGAAAGTGTTTTTATGCTATTTCTTGTTCTTGGGCGAGGATTTTTATAGAATGGAGAGACCCCAAAGAACCGTGAGCAATCAGCAGCATCGGGCCAATATACCCATAAAACGGCCCAGCCAGGTCCCTGGGCCAGCTCTACCCAGAGGGTCAAGTATCCCTGCACCCGAGCTCGCAGAAGGCCTTTGTACAACTGTCCCACAGAGCGCCTCCCAGAGCAGCCAGGGGGGAAAGCAGAGGTAGGAAAGGGCTATGGAAGCGGGAAAGCTTCCTTAGGGAAAGAAAACTGGCCTTGTCCTCTATCTGGCATGTGAAGTGGACCAGGGCTGCGGCTCCCACGGATGGGGAGCCATCGGCCAGCATCGCCAAAGGGAACCTTTCCGAGTTCCTGGGAGGCAGCAGGCATGGTATACGAGCTTCGAAGTCACATGGTTCTGATGAACCCGATGGCCCCTGTTCTCTTCCGCTGTAGGTTCTAGAATAGATGAGCCTCGTGCCAAGTAAACACGGAATGTGGAGCGGTATCTTCACAGGGGCCACAAACTCAAAATCTACAGGCTGGAGTGACTGTGTGGGGCCGACCTACTAGAGACAAACCAAGAGATTCAAGTTCATCTCGAGGGGGCTGCCTGCACTCCGTGTCCCTGGATGTTTGCTAGAAAGGCATGCCAGAATCAAAGGCCATCCCGCCAGGGCCCTACTGCAGTCCATTGCTCCCTTGAGCTGCATAGGTGGGTCCCAACCCTGGACCGCCACACAAAACACCTGATGGCACAGACTCAGCCCACAGCCAGCCAGCGGGTAGCCTCTAGTATCCACTGCCTGCCTCGTTTTATCCAAAGCACAAATCACAATCTTCTACTTTTTGGTTAAAATAGTTATACTCCATTGCACGGGAAAGCCCTGTTAATCAGCCTTGTGTGTGTGTGCGCGTATGCACTACAGCTTGCTCCAAACGCATTGCCAGGTCGAGCCAGAATAGCGTGGGCAATTACCCTATCCCACAGCTCCCTGAAAGCCTCTTTTCCCTGTGTCTCCTTCTGTCCTAAACCCACCCCATTCTCCCAAAACCCTGCAGTTGTTTTAGGGGACACTGCTTCTCCCCCAGCTCCCATCCACCATACCACTTCAATACGGAGCTCTCGGCAGCATCATTTCGAGAGGTCACCAGCCTTAGCCGGGTGGCTCAGCTCTTTGGAGCATCATGCTATAGACCAAAAGGTTGTAGGTTCAACCCCTGGGATCCCAGGGAAAGGCACATATGAGAGACAACTGATCAATGTTTCCTCTCACATCGATGTTTCTCTCTCTCATCCATAAACATATCTTCAAGTGAGAATTAAAAGAGAGAGAGATCACCAGCCCAGTTGTCTGAGTCCCCCAGCTAAACTCCTAGTTTGAGAAGCACAAGGTCTAAGCTGGTTTCGTTCGAGCATGTCTTGTGTCTTTTAATCTGGTCAGCATTAAATCAGATACTTTGAGGTATAACAGCAACTTGGCAGTGAAGGAAAGCTCTCTGCCCAAATCCTTGACTGAGGCAGAAACCTATTCTCTGTGTTCTGTTTGTTTAGGGGGAGAATCCTTCAGATGTGGCCTCAGGAGGGCTCAGGAGTTGTGACTTTGCCCAGGTTTGCAGCTGAAGTCTTAAAAATAAAAGGACCTCAAGCCATCTTCCCCAAGTCTCTGAGCCAGTGGCGGTGGCCTAACCAGGATGTCAGACCCAGCGCCCTCCTCGCGGGCAACTGGGCGCCCCGACCACCAGACCACACAGTTGGTGCTTAACGTTCACTCAGCAAACCTCAAGTTCCAGGCCCGAAGAAACAGCTTTTCTAAAAACAGAGCTCTCTTTGTGAACAATTCAGCAAAAATTCTCTTTCCAGCTGTGAGGTGGGATTCGTGTTGCAAATGTTGGTGTTAATTAAAAACATCCACCTTCTCCAGTTTCAACAGTAAGAGGAAAGCACCACGCAGGGTGGGTTCCGAAGCATTCCTCCCCGAAGCACTTACAAACACGGTTTTATTTATGACATGGGTGCTGGGGCTGCTGACAGATACTACCATCCTTAATCCTCAGTCCCCCCCAAAAAAGAACTGGGGTCAAGGAGATGGGTGTGATGGGTCCAAACTGGCACAGAGGAGACTGGTGTCCCAGGAAGAAACATAAAACGGCTCTAATCCAGAGCATCAGGAAAGATGTTCACCTTCCTGTTAGTATCAGGAACTTGGCCTAGTTGAAATCAGATGTTTATCTGCTGATAAAAATAAGCAATTTTTCTCTACATTGTTTTTAGTCCTTCCAACATGAAGGAAATGAGGTACGATACGATCAGGGGCATCTCACAAAGGATGACACCACGTATTATTCAACAACTGGGATGTGGGATCACCCTTCCTTATATTCTCCCCGCAGTTCTTGCTTGATTGGGAAATCTTTTTTTCTTTTTTTTAAATATATCTTTATTGAGTTCAGAGAGAGGAAAGGAGAGGGAGAGAGAGATAGAAACATCCATGATGAGAGAGTCATCGATCGGCTGCCTCCTGCACGCCCCCGACTGGGGATCGAGCCCGCAACCCGGCATGTGCCCTGACTGGGAATCGAACCCCAATCGCCTGGATCCCCAGTCGACGCTCAATCGCTGAGCCACGCCTGGCCGGGCATTGACTGGGAAATCTTTATCCAAAAGGGCGCAGGGCTGCTGAGACCGGCAAGGCTGAGCTGCGCCCCTTCCTGCGCTGAGCTCTGGTTGGTTCATTTGTCCCACGGCCCACAGGAACCAGGCAGGAAAGAATCAAGCCAAACCCACATCGTTATAAATGAATTTCTTTGTTTTTAATCTCACACAGTTTAAAATACAATATGAAATCAGGCTACAGTATATAAAAAACTCTCCAGCAAAATGATGTGCCAGCATCAGCTACTAAATTACACAAACAAAAACTCCCCCATAAGAAATTTTTTTGCATTAAAAAAACAACACATAGACACTTACATCGCTACATCTCTAAGCTACCTCAGTTCTGATTTTTAAAAAGCACCTGCTTTTCCTTTTTTTCATCTTGCTTTTAAATTTTCAGCTTTTTAAAAAATATAAATTATATGAAAATACAAGTTGGAAAATAGTCAAACACAATATAACATCTTTTTACCCCTATATTTCTCAGCTTAAAAAAAAAAGTATTCTTAAAAAAAGTTCAATAACTGAGGCAGTATTCCTGATAGAGATAATTTCATTTTCATATATATCTTTTATATATGTATATGTATACATATATTTATGGTTCCTTGAAACTTCTTTGGAATGTAGGTAAGAGCTAACGCATTTATATAGACCCCAACAGAGAAAGCGGCATGCACAGCATGACTAGAAGAGAGAGGGCATCGCTTTCATCATGAAGATTAGGCAGGTTAATGCTCTAAAACCCAGAGAGTTCATCTCCAAAGTGAGGAAAAGCACATCTGATCTTGGGATGCTACCTCCAATCCCCGTCGCCACCAAACCAGGGCTCCGTGCAGGGAAGTCCCCACCCCCTGAATGGAGAAGGGAACAAAGTGACTGAACCCTACAGCCAACACTGACGTGGGTTAAGGCATCTCCAGGAAAACAAGGGTTTCCCCCCGGCTAAACCAGATCTGCCCATCCTTCCTCTGAAGCTAACATGTGTTTTTTAATAGCATAAATGCAACAATTCTGCTGCATTTCCAGTGTATAAACCACCCACCACTCTTGCTGGGATGGTCTCTGGCCTTTGGACAGAAGGAGAAGAAGCATCCGGCCAGATGAACAAAGCTGTCTTAACTAACAAACTATCTATAAATACTGAAAACGGTGGACCTGCAGAGAAAGGCATCTTAGCGACAAGCGGGCTGAGGCGCATGGGAGGCACTTTCTTACATCTGAGCTGCTATGGGGTGACTGCAGGAGCTAGACACTCACACAAGGGGAGCTTTCGGCATAAATGTAACAGGAAAGGTGGATGGGTTGAGACAGTGATTTTATGCCCGGTTGCAAACAGCAGGCCATGACCGATGCCCAGCCTTGGTTCCACTCTCGCCCGTTACTGAAACGTGGAAAGACGTACCTAGAAAACCCAGGTATTATCTCGGCTGCAGTTTTGCATGTCTGCAAACACACACACACACAGACACACACATGTACACACACGCACGCACTCATTCACTCATGCACACCTTTGCCAGTGCCCAACAAAGATCACATAATCTAAGAGAAAGCAATGTAGTCCCACAGTTCCGCCTAACACTCCCTGAGCAGCTCCTAAAATATTTCGAGAGCTTCAATAAGGCACCTGCGTTTGGAAGATCAGAGTACACAGCTGGGCTAGTTCTGCCTTTGCTTTCCAAGTGGACACTCTGGCTTATCAGTGTGAGCAAACTCGAGAATCACAGAGCTAAGTTCCTGATAGCGAGGGTCTGCGAGGGGACCTGGAGCAAACAATGCACTCTCTTGAATATGCTAGAGGTTGTCGGCTCTTCCAGAGTCCCAGCGAGAGCCCAGGAGAGGCCAGCCCTGAGAAACCCATCTCACCACCCTTCCCCTCTCCCACTGCGGTCTGCGAGGCCATCCCACTGCCCTGGGCCTTGTTAATCGGGCATCTTTGGAGTGGGGGGGATCCTGATTGAATTAGGAACTTGTCCTCACTAGTTAGATGTTGGTCACCCCCATCAAAATCCCATTTTCAGATTACCCTTCACAACTGCCTCAGTCGATTAAGTTTATAGTTCAATTAGGGAAGAACTAAAAATATAGTTAAATCTCATGGCCCACCTTACTGTCGTCATTCGAGCTCCTTCCCTTATGTTTCCTTTGCCTCCTACCACTCCTCCCTTAGTCTTCACTTACCCGGAGCCGAGGTAACAGCCCAAGGGGAAGACCCAGCCAGCAGCTGCACTGTTCGCTTTCCATGCACAGTCTCCCCGGACATCCCACTCAACTAGCTTGTGCTCTTCAAAGGAAAGCCTGGCCTTGCTTTTCTCCACCTGAAGGCAGCCAAGCCCCCTTTTACCTATATGCTCCCTAATTTCCATGGTCCAAAATCCCAGTGAGTCTAAATGGCTTTGTCAGACGCTCTTCCACTCAGGTCCTGTCTGCTGTTACGCTGTGACTCCCGGTCAGAAAGCTGTACATTGCTCTGTCCTGAGTGAGACTGGGGAAAGCAAGAAGTGCGGGAGGCTGGGAAAATTAGACAGAAGGAAGTGTAGAGTGTTAGTCTGGAACACCATGCATTCAGGACTTACTTCCTAAGACCTGAGGGGTAATGCCCATGCACACAGCTTTACTCCAAGCCATATGTTACAGGTACAGAACCAGTAAAGAACCAAGTCAACCTTCCTCCCTCGATCTCCTTTCTGTGACTTCAACAGCGCTCCTGCATTTCCCGTGGTCCCAAGCCAGGGCTGCGAAATACATTCAGTTCAAGACTTAATGCTTCGGAGCTCAACGTTAAGTCTAAACCCCAAGAATCCACTAAGGGCAAGTAAGTAGAGGTGTGATGATCATTTTTTAAAATTACAGATGAAATTCACATGTACAGTTTCCTTGTACCCCAATCAACATCATTTTTTCCTTCATATATAAAGCCACCTGAATTTGGGGTCCCCGACCTCAGTGACAGCACTTTGCGTTTCCAGTGGGGTCTATATAAACAGTTTCCTTTCACTGTGACAGAATCCTCATCTGGCAAATAAAAACAAACTGGCGTGATGCTGCAATACTGAGACCACCTTAGAGCTTAAGACGATTTTTAAGAAAAAACAAATACTGGCACAAAATTTAATAAAATAAATTTCAACACAAAAACAGTTTTGGCCCCTCCCACTGAAGTCCATCTTTGTTTTAAAAGAAGAGTAAAAGGTAAATAGTTCTTGGGTTTTGCGCACCCCCAAACACAATGTTCTACCCCACCACCCCTCTTTTTTGCCCTCCCAGACCTAAAACCAGAAGCAAACTAATTGCCTTTCATCGGTCTCATGACTCCTGCCGCCTCACTTTCTTCAAAGTCCACTACTCGAGACACATTTTTTTTGTTCATGGACGATTTTTGAAAATGATTAGTCTGGTCCTCCCTTAGCCGATTCTTCAAGCGCCTAAGGAGCCCTTTCTGTCCTGAAAATTTGCTCACGAATGCCTCGTCCCACCCACCCCACCAGTCCTGGCTCTCCTTTGCCAACCACACACAATGGATTATAGCTGCAGTTCACTTAGCTCCCCCCTGAATGTAAAAAAAAAAACGAGTTCTGGAAAATTAAAAATAGAATAACAATTAAAAATTAAGAGTCCAACCGACGTGGTTCTTTGCAATGTCTCAGCAGAGTTGCCCCGGCCCTCGGGCCCCTCACTCGTCGGCGTCGGGCTTGACGTCCAGCATGGCGTGGAGCTCCTCGGGCGTGTACCCCAGCAGGCTCTGCAGGTCGCACACGAAGCGGTACACGTAGCGTTTGCCCGCTGTCTTGTGGATGATGTTTTTGTCGTAATAGTAGCGTAGGCCACGGCTCAGTTTCTCGTAATTCATCTTAGGCTTGTTTTTCCTTTTTCCCCACCTCCTGGCCACCTAAAATTTAAAAACGGGGGGGAAGAAAGTGAAAATCTATAAAATAATCCAAATATACATGTTTACACGCCTGCACCCGTTCACGGTGGCCCATGATGTTCAGGTCAGTCAGTTAAGAGGTTCATGTACATGGGAGGTATTTTTCCGACTCTCTCTTCTGAACTCAAGTTCTCAAGGGTTAGGCAAAGACGGCAGGAAAGCTGACTTTAAGTTGATGAAAACGTAGTGACCCTGAACTTCTACATAATGGAGTTAAAGGGAAAAAGGAGGGTAACGCTGTGGCCTCCCTTCCCTCCCCACGTCATTAGGAGAAAGTCCTGCTTCAAAAGCGTGGAGTCTCCTGCGAGGGCTGGAGGAGGGCCGAGCTGCGGTCATCCCTGCCCTGCAGCCACAGGACGCATTTTCTGTTCTGGGGACAGTTCTTCTCAGGCCTGCCATAACAAGAGAGGTTGGCTCTTTTCATTTTTTACCCTCGGAATCGGGCACGGCAGAGAGCAACCGCTCAAAGAGCACTTGTTGGGTCAGAGAATGAATTTACTGAACACATTGCAGCAACCTTCCCCGGCCCCTGGCCTTGTGCGGCCCCTTTCAGATTCACAGAGACACGCGGGCAGGAAAAGTGCGGAATCAGAGAAGGCAGCTCATCTTCACGGAGGGCGATTACATGCCCGGCATCTATGTGCTTCCTATCGGGTAATCCTAGGGAACAAATGGGCAGCGTAGACATTTCTCTATTTTCCAGATAATGAAACCAAGGCTCAGATAGGCTACGTAGCTTGCTCGAGGTCAAACAAGTAGCAAGTGGCAGAGCTGGGATTTGAATCTTAGAAAATGTCATCGGACTCACACACACCCTTTCCAGAGTTCTCTCCAACACAGTACTCTCAAGTCACTCCCTTCTTACCTCATCTGGGTCAGAGAGCTTGAATTCCCAGCCATCTCCTGTCCAGCTGATAAAAGACTGACAGGACTTATCAGTGAGTAATTCCAGAAGAAACTGCCACAGCTGGATCGGTCCACTGCCTGGAAACACAAGCATTGATTCATTACTCCAGATGCTCAGCGCTCTCGGCTACTAATCCCAGGACACCGCGCTCCCTTCCCCCTCTCTGTCCATCTATCCAGGAGAGGAGGCAGGGAGCATATGGTACACGTGTTAAAGGGGGTGCTAGAGCTCACACAGGCTGAAAAGGAGGTGTTCCTGCCACAAGAAAAAAGAAAAACACTTAAGACAAGATAGAAACTGCCTTATTTTGAATGGCTTAAGGGTCGGTCCATTTTTATTGCTAAGCAAACCCTAGAAAGAAAATATGGACTCTATCCTCTGACATATTCTAAGGCAGCATAGTCTTTTGCGCCTTTAAATACGATGTCATTTGCCTCAAGAAGTAATAAAGGTATCAACTGAGGAATGCCGCTGCCAGTTCCAATCAGAAGTCGAACCTCAGAAGCACCCCTCTATAGAGGGAGCCTCTGGCCCCTGGTTTGCAAGCGAGAAGATCACTGTCCTCGGCTTATGTAACAAGGGCTTACTTGGGTGATAATATTCCTCTCCACCCCCACCCTGTCCTCCCAGGTCACTTACAGACAAGCACCCAAACAGAGAGAGGAAAGTCAATGGGTCCTGAGCAATTAACTCGCCACCTGGAAGTCCTCAGAGGTCAGCTGACGACTATCTTAAATTCTTCCCAGGTTCAGAATAATCTAATTCACACACACACACTCTCCCTCTCTCTCTCTCTCTCTCTCTCTCGTATAAGCCACCAACACTGCCAAAATCTTAGTTCTGGAAGGTCTGACATACTCTGATAGTCAATTTACCTTATGCCTGAGATTCCTGCTACATAGATTTCCTTTTAGGATAACTCTCTCTTCAGAAATGGCAATGCTGACTGATTTCTACCTGACTTATGAGTGCACCTGAACGACAAATTGGTTCAACAGTCCATGCTGCCCGGGACACGTCTGCGCTGAGCCCTGCAACACCATCTCAGAAGCCATCCGGACGGAGAGGGACTGGGAACACCCAGTCCGGGCAGATAAAGGAAGCCTGGGGCACTCGAACTCATAGAGAAAAATCCTGAGTTTCAAATCTGTCTGATCCAAAGTAAACTGCGATTCAATAAGAAAGAAGCTTTTGGTTGGCCCCCTCTCCATCTAAAAACGAAATGTCCTTTATGATCTATGAGGGTAATCTCTTGTTCTGCCTCACATTCTACAAGGCATGTGCATACGTGTCACGTTGCCGGCTCCTGAAGTCCACTGCCCACTGCTCTCTGTGCGTGAAGCACAGTGGCCTCGCTGTTTCCATTCCATCCCTGTGAAAAAGGAGCTCAGAAAAGTTATGTGACTTTGCTCCCAGCACAGTTAGAGAAGGTGCATCTGGGTCTGGTGTCCGGGCCTTCAGACTCCAAGCACAGGGCCACCTGGACAGGCACCAGGAGGAAGCAGTGACTGGCGTGCACTGTGATCTGACGGCTGGGACGCGCTCCTGCGGTAACTGCTTCCCCGTGGTGGCTCCGCGCTCCCCCGCAGGCCCCACGCTAAATACAGAAAATGAAATAGCACGACCTCCTCCTTCCAAAAATGCACCTCGAGCTCTTTAAAACCATCTTGCAAGAAATACCCTACACATACCCTCGAGTAAAATGATACAGTGAATGCCTGCAAGACAAATTAACATAAGAAAACCGCCTGAGTGCTAGGTTCGCTGAAAAACCACTGGGTGTGCCATTCAGACGCATTTGCAGATTTCTTGTATGTTGAGTTAAAGTCACCAGCTACCACTCCCTGCCTGGGCTCAGGGGACTAAATGTGACATTCTATGAGGCATCCATTGAAAAGCCCTTGTGACATAACAGGCTTCCTGATGAAGTGAAAAATGACTAGACACCCAACAGGACCGCTGAGGACACATACAGAGAAAAGTCAACTACCCTGAAACGATGTAAATGAGCCCTCCTGGAGGCTGCAGTCTTCTTTTGAGTCAGGTCCCCAGACCTCAGACATATGGCAGAGAGATGCTGCTTTGAGGTCCTTGGTGGAGGGAAATGCTCTCAAGGGCTATGATTTACTGTACACCTACTGTGTGCCAGGCAGTTGATGCTCACCCCCTTCTCATTGGCTCCTCACAATCACTCCATGGGTAGTTTCTCCTGTTAGCAGGTTCGCTCTTCCCACGTTCACGTTACAGCAGAGAAAACTCGACACCGCCCGCCCAGTGTGTCCGCTGACCTTGGCCAAAGCCATTCAATCAGAAGTGGAGGGGCCGTGATGGGACCCATGCAGCCTGACCCTCAAATTCTCAGCTCATACTACATCGCCCCCCAATGAGACCACCCTGGGGGCTGGCATCTAATCAGCCTGCCTGGTCACACTAATCCAGGGGATAAATGGACCTGGCTTTTAAAAACCGTCTTCTCTTTCTCACATCTCCCAGCAGCCATGGGACACTGGACGGCCGGGGACCGTGGCATCTCCTCCACAGGTGACCCTGCCAGCCCAGTTAGCTAGGTCCCCCTAGCAGCTCACGTCATTATTTCTCCCTCCCACCATTTGCCTTAGAAGCTCTCTCACACGATTTATCTTAAGATCCCCTTGGGGAGGAGAGGAAAGGGAAGGCGATACCAGGCTTCTGCCCGAGTGAGTCCCGGAGAGGAAAGCCCAGGGCACACATGCCACCCCGGAGGCTGGGCAGCCATCGTGTAGAGAGGGGACTTAGTTCCTGTCTGGGAGCAGCTCCCAGGGGAAGGATCTCAGACAGCGGGGCTGTCACTGGTCTTCCCACCTGTGCCACCCCTGAGCTGCAGTGTCCGCGTCACGGGCCGCGTCTGCCCTGCTCAGCCCCGCTCTGTATATTTGAGCCCTGCTGTCTGCGCTCAGGGTCCGGGGCAGGGTGAAGCCCTGTCTGCAGGGGATTTTTTTCCTCATTTTGGGTTTTCCCTTGTTCAGAAAGAACCTCAAACTGTGAAATCCGAGGACGGAGAGCCCAGGTCCCGGAGAGTGGTGCTTTCTAACTCTGCTCTGTTTACACCAAAGGGGAGAGGGAGCAGAGGCAGGAGAGCAGATGCCCAGGACAGCGCAGGGCCTGGAGGGGGAGGGACGGCCCTGCTCAGCTTCTCCACAGCGCAGTCAAAACAGGTGATGTCAGCCGCTCTCCTTCCCCCAAGTCTTGAAGAAAACTCATGTGCGCACACCCAGAGCGAGGGCACACAGGGCTCTCGGCCTGGGTTTCTGCAAGTCGCCGCCTACCCTTCAGGAAGGCCACGGTGTGGCACCAAGTACAGGGAATCCGTGACTCCTCTCAGGGTCCTTTCTGGTACCTTTGTGCCAACCCCTGAACTGCCCTTTGGTTGTGGGAGCAACAGAAACAGGGAGGCATGGGGTCCTCTCCCAGCAAGAAGGCGATTCCTGGGTGGGCTTTGTCCTTGGCTGGGCTAGTGGACAGTCTTACACGAGAGCCTGTTTCCACAATGTGTCACCCTCGCTTCAGGTCTGGGAGGCAATTCGGGGCGACCTGGAAGCCCCCAATTTGGAGGTAGCTCTGGGCTTGGAATGCACGCTGACTGTGCAGACTTCCCAGCAACGTGCAAGTCTAGGCCCCTGAGAACCTCCTGTGGTCCAGAAGTGTGAAGACACTGGACGAGGCCAGAGCTCGCAGTGACAGCCTCTCCCACAGGATGCTTCTGCTCTGCTTCGCGTACGTCCCCCCGAGGCCGAGGGACCCCATCTTTGCCCTCGCTCCACCGTTTCCTAAAATTGTAAAGCCTCTCCCTCCACTCTCCCTGCACCTCCTCTCACGCCCGGGCCCAGCCCCATCCACCCACCCAAGCCGACTGCGGCCCCAGTGACCTCTGACCCAGGGAGCGGAGAATGGTGCTAAGAATAGTGCCAGCCGTGGGAAGGGGAGCTCACACACTAAATGTGACTCACAATGGTGTCCCTGTCTGGGCCCTGGGCCGTCAACGGCGGCCTTCACCAGGCTGCCCTGGGTGTCACACATCAGGAATCCGGTGGCATCACTGGGAGACTATGCTTCTCAAGTCGCAGCTCTGAGCCACAACAACAGAGGAGTCCCTGTTAGAAGGAAGTCTCTCTCCCAAGAAGTGGGGGGAGGGCGCCACCCCCCCCCCC